AAAAAGTCTATTAACCGGCAGTTGACTTCTAACTTCAAACCACCATCACCCCAGTGTATGTCATATTCGTCGGTACTCACCTCACCTTTTTTCTACCTTTGTGTCTGTCTGTCCCCTCTACATCTGTGAATCACTCTTCTGTCTCTCCCCCCCCCCAGACTTTTTTCCACTTTGTTGTTCCTTCCCCTCTGTGAAGCCTGAAGTCAACTAAAGGGCTAAAGATAACTATCAAAATGCCCGCCATTTGATATAAATAAACTTTCCATTATCCAGGTCTAGTCTTTGAAACAAACATCTACATATTTTCCGAAGCTATTCTGGAAGGGAATACTAGAAGTTCCCCTTTAGAAGAACAAATGCATAGGGTGGTCTCTTAACTAAGGGAGTTAACTTCATCCTACCTTTCTATTATTCTTTATGATAGATTTTTATCTTCAGGAACTTCTTTTACAATTTTTCTTATAATAATAGGCCTTTAATATTAAGTATATTGTCAGTTCCTTTACAATTTTTCTTTAAATGCGCTTGTGAAAGTGTCAAGTGACCTCAATTTATTAATTTTCTCGAACTCCTGCCTTATAATCATAAAATATAGCACAATATGACAGAACATTGTTATATCTTCGTATATTTAAATAAAAATCTATTTTCCGAGCTGCATATTTGATAGCCTTTCATCTCCTTTACGTGTTTAAATTCAATCGCTCTCCAATTCTCACGCTAAAAGTCGAACCTGTTGTGAATAGAACAGTGTTTAAATTTACGATGAGAGAATTAGTCTCTGATAGAGCTGCTGATTCAAATTGTCATCAATAGTCAATGGCACTGTTAATGCGGAACCCACCCTTGAATGTCTTGGTGTGATTGGTACTGCGATTGCTGTCGATTTGAGAACATCTCCATGTTTTCCTGATGCTGTTGAGCATGGAAAGCCCTTCGTTGAGTCGGTAGAGTTGAAGGTGGAGGCAATTTATGGATGGGCTCATCAATCACACTGCTCGCTCGTTTCAACATCGCCAACTCCTGACGGGCACTTGAGAGCTCCTCCAATAACTGGAGTTCACGATAATTCATAACTTCACTTGTGTCATTCATTGCAGCTGATGCATTTGAATTCACCTGGACACGGGATATTGTCGGTGTCAGGTAATGCCGATTGTCAGAAAGAAGCGATGACTAAAATGAGGAAAAATTAGCTCTTTCTGATTACTTTGAATGGGAAGAAATTTTTCAATGATGATGTGAGTCCCCGCTGATATGTTTAGTAAGGAGAAAAACGACGTTGAAACAATCAAGTTTAAAAACGGTTAAAAATAAATAAATAATAAAGATATTATTATTAGCTCCATTAGAGAGATTCAGATCTGAAAAGGAATAATCACATTTGTTTAAAGAATGGTATCAACTTATCAGAAGTCAAACTGGAATAATGCTGAGCTCAAATTTCACAGAAATAGATGTCCACTTCTAGACCATATAATTTCAATCGAGTTCTTTAGTATTTTATCACTGAGATGAGCTATAGTATAGAGGAATATTTGCTCCCAGAGCTTACAAACAACGACAAATTCCCTTAAGTTCATTGGATGAATTTTTAACTAACAAATACTCTTCCCCGATCTGATCAAACTGGAGAAATTGATTCCTTTATACCAGCTGCTTTGCAGCGGGACACAATAGATCCGCTATTGAAGGAGAAATAGAGGTCATTAGGATAGCACTAAGCCAATTATGTTGCCTGGATACGAAATTCACCAAAGTGGTGATACTCTCGGACTCACAGTCAGCAATAAACTCAATTGGAAACAGAGAGTCACCCAAAACAGCTGAGATAAACGAATGCCGAAAACTGCATCAGCTACTGAAAGAGAAAAACAAAACAGTGGTCCTACAATGGATTCCTGGTCACTGTGGCATTAAAGGCAATGAGATTGCTGACACACTTGCTAAGAAGGGGACAAGGATTTTGCAATGCATGGACCGGCCGATGTCTTTCCACACAATGAAGGCCTTAATCAGAAGAGAATTCAAGACCTCAAGGTGCAACGAACTTAAAGCTCGAACAAAAGAGAAACAGTGGACAGTGACACTCTCCGATATAGCGGACTGGCCAAGAATCGAAGCCGTTGCTGAGTTTAGACTACGTACCGGACACGATTGCCTGGCAAAACACCTTCACAGATTGGGAGTATACACTCAACCCACATGCCCCCTATGTAACCTACAGGAAGAAATGGGGAAGACCCACCTGATTCGATGTCCAGCCCTAAAGACAACGACGGAAAGCCAGAGATACTGGGAAGCATGAAGACGACTAATGAATTGCTATTCATTAACTGCTATAAATGTACCCACCACCCTTGGGGGAAGCTGAAGTCAAAGTTTAAGGGCTAATGATAAATATCACAAAGCCTTCCATTTGAAATAATAATAACAATAATATCAGCCGCTTTCATTTTCTAAAGTAATTGACTGCTACGTTCAAGATATTAAGAGCTTGTATTCATAATTTAAATACAAAATGGATTAAAGTAACAGAGATACCTTTGTTCAAATGAAAAAAGATACACGAAAAATGAAGAGTCCTCAATCAAGTTTTGTTTTGCCTTTGGATGCATCTCTTTAGATTGTATTTTTTAAATTTCCATTTACTTTCAGTTTAAGCAGAATTATACTAATAAATATAATTTTGCTAATTCGATTTATTACAAAATGCAAAATTCAGTGGATGAAGTAAAATATGCCCGAATTTCGAAATTAAATAATTATTCTATGTACCAAAAGTAGGAATTTGACTCAATTTTCCCTAATACGTCATTTTATGCTTCAATTTTGTCGCGAGGTTATCATAGGTCTCTTATGTTGTTTAAAATAGGTCTTTGTTTTTCAAAGGTACAGCGCCCGTCTCCGTTTATATTTTTGTAAATGCTACTGTTTAATAGTGAGTAATAGCGATATTGCGAAATCATGTGAGCAATGATTTCATGGCATTGTAAAAAGGATTAGTTGCCATGACAATGTGGGCTTTGTTGCATGATATTTTGTCTGAAATGCGAACTAGAAAGGCTGAAAAAAGCACTGCTTACAGAATTATTCGAAGTTTCTTCAATTTCATACTAAAAGATTCAAACCAAAATATTTGTAATGAATTTTTAAATATCATTGAGAAAAATAGCAAAAATAAATCATATAATAGTTGTTTACCATCCGTACCTGAAAATAACGATTCATAATGAGGTTTTGATAAACGCTGTATAAATGGTGGACTCATACTAATGATCACTTACAAATTCGTTAGTCCACTAAAGCTTTGTATATGAAAATTTGACAACTTAATATTTTAATATTAATCTCATATTTTGAGAGAAACCTGTAAAGGAATTTGGATCTAACTAATAAACCTCAAGGAATAGACACATTTTAAATATTATCGAATCTGAACTAATCCCAAGGTCAAATTAACAGTATGAGCATAAATTTTACTTGAAAGAAATTTAGGCAACTTACCGTTTCAAGTTCAGGATCAATGGTGACATTAATTTGATTGAATCTTTTAGGTGAGACAGGGGGTCTGTGTTGGAGAGTAGTTCGAAAAGTAGTTTGATAACGTGGCTGACCAGAGGAGGGAAATTGGGGAGCGGGAGTGGAGTGTCGGACAAATCCGCCCGACACCTCTCCTGCCAGATTTCCACCGGAACGCAAACTCCCCACTCCCCGATCTGTGGAAAAGGCCTGTGATCTCTGGTAGCTAGTGGAACTCGTGGAGGTACTAGTCAATCGACTACTTCCACCTCCAATACGGTTACTGCCACTTCCAGTGAATGAGTAGGAGCGGTTGGTATATCTAATTCAAAAGTTAAAAGTAGGAAGTTAAATAACTTTTCAATGCAAATATTAAAAGATGTAACTGTCTTCGAAAATACGAGAGATTCCCACGTAATTTCTAAACCCAAATCGCCATGTTCCGAATTCAAACTGGTATAGTCAAATAAGGGGTGCGTGATAGACTTACCTCCACGTGGTGCACCCTGGGCAACGTATACTCATACGGCAAGAAAGTCTATTAACTGGCGATTGACTTCTGGCGCAGTACTCATCCCACCTTTTCTCTGCCTTCATGTCTGTCTTTTTACATCTGTAAATCACTCTTCTGTTCCCCACCCCTCGACTTTCTGTTACTTTGATATTCCTTCCCCCTGTGAAGCCCGAAGTCAGCTAAAGAGCTAATGATAACTATCAAAACGCTTGCCATTTGAAATAAATAAATATAAATAGTCAAATAATATTTTAATATTTCAAATATTAACGACCACTCATGGCCTATGTTATACGGAGTCGTTGGTTTGACTAAAATATTACCAAAAAATGTGAATGACTGCAAGAGACAATAAATTAATTAGCTTTCTGTTAAAAAAGATTTCAAATAATACGATTTTCTGAGAGTTCAAAGAAGGTGGACGATAGTTCTTTGATGCCACTACAATTTATTAATTGAATCCTATTTTTTTGGAAATATAAAGTAGAACATTAGCTATTCTTATTATTTCTTTATCCTGCGGTGAAATTTTATTCACTTTTCAAGGGCAGTACATGCTTACAAGTCGACAATACTGGTTAAACGGCCATATATATCCGAAATTCCTTCAAGTCATTCAAACTAAATTCACTTTGAATTTTTCTGAGATAATCTTTGAGAAAGCAGCAAAAAATCTAAATAGTTTTCTAAATTAACAAATAAAATGTGAAACATGTATTACATATAACTCCACGACTATGTATCCGAGCAGTGATAATATATGGTAATTTCATAAAAAATGACGACTTCCACGTGTCGTCGACGAAGGAAATGTCTGGTGAGAAAGAGAACCACATAGGAGATGAGAAGGCGCAAATTCTGTAGCCTAAGCCAAAGTGAAAATGAGAATGTCAAATATGAACTTGAGTTCGCGAGGTAATGAGACATTAAACTTCGCTAAATTTACATTAAGGTAATAAAATATCGATGAANTCGTTTGTTGTCAGTCAGGCGCCAACGTGTCACATTCTCATTCACCTGAGCAACAATCAACAAGTGGTGTCGTGAGTCATTCGACCTCCTATAGGTCATAAAATGACCAAAATCCATTCCTTGTTTTAATGACCTGATGAACAAATTGGTGGGCCATGCTTTCAATCATACCTGCAACTACCTATGCATGTGCAATTCCGATTGGTTTTTCGTAAGAAAATATTACCGAGTAGGTGGAATTGAAGTCAGGGTTATAATTTGGGTAACAATTTGGCATGAATGAAAGCGGATTCTCTCACCTATTGGAAGCTTTCAACAGTCTATGTATTAATAAGATTCCATTCCTCGTATTCGAGTGCATCGAAATGTTAAAAAAGAGAAATTAAGACAATAGGTAATCTAATGTAAGTTGATGTTTTTTAATTGTGGAAAAGATTTTTTTATGCCATATTGGAGTTATTTACTAGTCAAATATTTTGCAGGAGTAAATTTCAAATTTTGCTAAATAAGAAGTCGGGGAAAAATTCTTATTTCTTAAAAATCTACCTGATTTGCTGGAGATATGGAGAAGGAATTTAGTGTACGAGCAGTATTATTATTGTTATTGAAAAATGTGTAAATGAATTTGCCAGTTCTTTATATAACTCAAAGAGGGGTGTGCGATAGACTTACCTATATACGTATACTCATACGGCAAAAAAGTCTATAAACTTCTAACATCAAACTACCATCACCCCACTGTATGCCATATTCGACCCCCTTCCACAGTACTCATCTTGCCTTTTCTCTGCCTTTTTGTCTGTCTCTCTGTTTCTGTTACATCTGTGAATCATTATTCTGTCCCCTCCATTTCGACTTTTTGTCACTTTGATGTTCCTCCTCCCCTCTGTGAAGCCCGAAGTCAGCTAAATGGCTAATGATAACAATCAAAACGCCTGCCATTTGAAATAAATAAATAGAACACAAAGAAACAAAAACGAGTAGAATGGGAACGAGCCATAAGAATCAAAGAGTTTCGAATCGCATAGTTGATGCACCTACCTTCCAGTACTGGTGGCACCGGGTTCAGCGAAAGCCGATCGTTGTTGATTTGAATATAGCCTTGAGGAATGGGAACCATTGTGGATAGTGGCTGGAGAACGGGCTGAGGATGAGGTATAATCTAAACTTGTCCGTCGAAGCTCCTCCAGAAGTTGATCGAGATCTTGGGTTGTGGCGGTGGTTGACATTGAACCGCTGTAGGAATTAGAAAGAGTGCGGTGGAAATTGTAGCCCTCTTTTTGTAGCTGTCGGTATTCAGCTTCCTCAAAATCTTCCGATTCTTGGTCCTCGAGTATCGTCGGCGTCGAACGTTCGGATCCTGTCTGATGAAGATGGAGGCGATAACTTCGTACTAAAGGGTAAAAAATAAAGCTCAAAAGGTTTTATTTACAACTGTGGTAAGAACAATGCGCTTATTCGTTATACCACAAATTGCCTGAGAGTGAAAATTTGATTATGAAAATGTATAATTTAACCAAAAAACACAAAAGCATGAACACTTTTAGAAAAGTGCTCAGTGATTGTTTTGCATATTCAAGAGTTTTCATAATTACAAATCAAAATTCTTGCTTTGTATACTTTGAAATTCTTTTCAAAATCCCTTTATTATCCAAACCCTTCATATCAAACCACTTACAGCCACTTCAATGAAGAGGTCTATTCCACACTGACATAGTTTCCGGACCAATTAAAAGCTTCCAGAGCACCTGACTTGTGTGGGCCGTATGTGTCCTGAAGTCATTCTTACAATCGACCATCTTTCTTGCTGACTAAAAGTAAGTCAGGCAGTTGATCACCATCACCACCGGATGTGCATGTATTGTATGATCATTGAGCACAAGAAATTCAATGCATTATTCTTAGGTAGAGGTAATGATATAGCATTCATTGTAATTGGAAATGTGTCCATTCCAGTTTCACTCAGATTGTTTGTATAAACCAGAGTAATGATGCGGTCTAAACCTCCTGGCCTATGACTTTACTGAAGTGCAGGCCCCCCAACTCCCAAAAAAAACATTTGTGAAAACATTTGTATATAAACGCTTTGAACTGATCAAAGGATCGACAACAAAATTGGAACAGATGAAAGCAGGGAAAACGTTTGATTATTTGGTAGCTGAAAACAAACACTTTGGCCGAATAACTCTTAGGCATCTACCATGTGTTCAACTCCTCTCAAGCAAGTGGTAAGTTTCGTCCATACCTGGCTAAAATACCCACAAAAAATACCATTTTCGATTGAACATGATGCTGTTATTCAAAATACGCATTAGGAACAAGTAAAATGTTAACATTTTCTAGGTGTTAATCCAACTTTAATTATTTGCGCTTTGGAACAATAAAAACTTTGTTAACCAATGTAATTTCGGTTGACACAAAAGAATTGGTCGAGCTAATGTCTATCAATATTTATTTCAGTTAAAACATAAATTCGATTGGATCGACTTAAACAAATGTTACTTAGTTTCAAATGAATATCGGTTTGGACTTAAAACAAAAAAAACGCAAAACCAAGGGCAGGTTCCAACTCACAATATCAATATTCAGAGAAATAGAATCCTCCTAGTTTAGTAATCCAATCGAGACACCAGACAAAGCCGAAAGATTACAGTAGCAATACCTCTTCCAACATATGCAAAATGGGAAAGTCCCGACCGAATACACAACGATCGTAAACGGGGAAAAAGTTGCCTCTCTCGCTCTCTAAGTGTAACCCCTATTTGGCCTAATGGATAGGCAGATGAACACGCATTTTTGCGTGCCAGCAGCCTAACGAATCAATTTCTTTTTCCGGGCTAGTACACTTGCACCACAGCAATATTACACCATCAGCCGTTGCTTACGCCACTGCAGCACGCGTAACAGCCTCATCTGATTGGCCGAGACGACTGAATCGATCAGTGTGGGTGGAATTGCCATGAACACACTTAATGTGTGCTGCTGCCTTACCTCCTCCTTCCTTACCCCAATGCAGAAAGCGTGCTGCGTGCTCCTAACTCCGCCTTCCATAGCTTGGCTAAATCACCATTCCAATATATATTCATGACACACACACACACCCCTAAATGAAGATAGGGCGAAATTTCATTTCTGCTAAATGTCACAAATTTACTCGCTTTTAAAGAAAGCGGCCCATTAAGGTGAAATCGTTGAGACGCACAATGAATCTCAATACAAGTAAATAGTAACTTGGCAAAATAATTCATCTTAGAAAAAGGAGAAAATCACAGACTTGTGATCAGCAATGAGTTCCTTTATGCATATGGAGTGCCAATAGGCGTATTCAGCATAGTGAAGCCAACAGGAATTAAAAAATGTCACCTGACTCACAATTTCTCAAAACAATTAACTAATTAGGAAAGCGAAGTTATATAATAGACTACTACCTTTGAGGGATGCTATTTATATCAATTAATTTTTATTTAACCTTCATCATTGGACAAGTATTGGAATTTGAGAAAATACCATCAATGACCTTAAAATTTGTCAAATAGAATGAGAGCTTAATCTGAGTAACAAAAATAGAAAACGTGGACTTCTTGAATAAAAACCATTCACCGAACCCTTTCAAGATAGATGACTAAGACCCTTATTCAAACACTCCGAATGAATTACTGCCGTTTTAGAAATTGGTGACCTATTATTGCCTTATTTGACGGATCACTGAAGTTGTGGTTGCGTACTTCAATCGGCTCTTTTCTAACTATCAACAAACGAAGATTACTAATTCACATTGCCCTTAGTCTAGACAACTGACCTAACAAATGGAGAAGTCAAGTTTTGGTCGGTTGAGACTTGATTTGGATCTGGAGTTGAGTTTCTACTAAATCAAAATTAGAATAATGGAGAAATATGAAACTGCTTGAAGCACTATTCAGCTATTTGCAGTCAGAAATCATAAATTCGAGGTGAAATAACTCATCTTGAAGGCAATTAAAATGTAATTGGAGTTTTAATATTAGTTAGATATTCAAACTAAATATTTAATTTTTACTGTTAATGTCGTTTATTGTGTCTGAAAGAAATTTTCTACTGCAACGAAAAAGTGAGCCGGTTTGTGTGAGTCATCAATACATTACCGGATACTGAAATGCCACATTGCAAAATATTTAAATAAACAGCTTAAATTCCGATTCACGCCACGCGTTAGCTACAATCCTGTCCAAACGAACGACAGACGGTGTCATTAATAATGTCAGAATTTTTTTTTGTAAAATTAATTAATTTAGTCACTAAGGTAGCTGCAGCCAAAGATGGAATTACAGAGCCACCAAAACAGGATCAACACGCCAAATACATTATAAATTCGTTCAATGAAAATTCACAAATTGAGTTAACGTGTCCAGTGCATTTCTGACAAATAAAAAGTTAAAAAATGTAAGAGGTGTTTGTATGTATGATGTGAATGAAACATTAAATAACCACTTTTTAAAGGTTTTTGACCTTTTAAGACCTTTATTGGTAAAAAAAGCAGTTTATGAAGACCAAAATTAAAAAAATCTTAATGCTCCTACAAATCATAACCAAAATCAAGCTTTTTTTCAGCGTAGATGAAGCTTATCGCGTAACTGACCTCGAATTATTGCAGAAAACGAAGATGTAGGTATTATGCGAGTACACAGATTTCTATCGAAAGAAATCGACCTCAACAACGTAACCTTCAATTTTTATTCATTTTGGGAAATAAAATTCGATTGTAAAATAGCTTTCAAGATAGGCATCTTCATTTTGTTAGGAAATCCACAGTCAGTTATTAGTGAATTCTAAACGGGTTCGAATTTTTAATTTAGAGAATCGTATGTAAAAAGGATAACTCTCACATTTTTCGAAGGAAAAATATTAATTTCTTTGAATTAAATATCTTGAGATAATTTGAAAGAAGTAGAAAGAATGGTTAAATACTGCAATATCTATCTACCATCTTTGTAATTCACAGTACGTATCACTTTAAACTTAATTTGAACTAAAATCGGCAAATATGCTGCTGATAAATGAGGTTCAAAATCAATTAAAACATGCATAACCTGGTAACAAATAAATTTCTGGGGGATTAGAAAATTTGCCCTAGAAAAAAAACCACCACCAGCAGGTGCAGCAAGGTAGAGGTAGATGAGTCATCATGCAATGTGTTCACTGACTCACCCATCGCACCAGCTCATAAGGTCTGATGTCACAAGAAGGCACATCACCCTTGACTACATTCACAGCCGTAACTCGCGTCGATTCCCTCTGTGCCCACCAGAGCACCATTTATAAAAATCGATAAAGCATTTCTAAAATAAATGACCTGCTTTTCAAAGGCAATGCAAGGATCGATGAAACAACAAACAGGTTTCTATTACTCTTATTCCCTCCCACCACCCACCAAGTAATCACTGGTTAGGCTCCTTACCTATTACGAGTTGCAATATGTATAATTGTCACTTAACTTAGTACTCAATATTACCAAAGTTCTCGAAACCAGCAAACATGTGCTATTCTAGATGTATATATTTTTCCATTTCTTCTACAAGTAAGAACCAATCATGCAAATGCCCAACCTCATTGATTTAAAATACTGATAACCACATTGTAGACAAATGGCTTTCAACAGAACCGGGTAGGCGGGCACAGAGAGCTATTCGGAATTTTAGGACAAACCGCTAAATCCGATTCTGAAAACGGGTCAATCGGTTCATTTGAAACACCCCTATTTTACCGGTCGACTTCAAGCGATAATGAAAATTCTCAATGCATGCAAAATTAATACAATAGCTGTTTTCTGGAAGTGGGAAAAGTAATCAGACGGATTATTAGTGTTACAGCCTTAAAAGTTAATGAATTGACCAAGTTTTCCAGTTGGTTGAAATATGCACAGCGGCTCTCTTAAAAATGGGATATGTGAAATTAAACAGTGCTTGATTAACCATTTAAGTTTATTTATATGAACATTTACCAGTCTTTACACTAGCTTATTGTTAATATTAACTTATGCAGAGTGTTAGAAATTGCACAGATTGAATATAAAATACGTAAAGGACTTGGAGACTCCATTAACTAGGCGTTTCTGTGGGAGTGAGTGGAGGAGGGTGAACATGCACACTGTCGCGTTCACCAAAAGATGTCTGTCTAATTAATGCGATGCAAATGTCTAGGCAGGGTCCATTTCGCTCAAATCGACTCAGTGCTATTTGACCCACCAACTTCAAACGATGCCTGTCTTACGGGAAATAAACGACAGCTAATCATTAAGAAACCACATCATCATCATTATTAGTTATAATGATTTTAAATGAGTTTTCCACACGAAGGATTTATAAATTGCAGGAACTTTAAAAAATTTTTCGTCGGTGACTATTAAATTAGAAAATGTACGATTATTCTTATCAGATTACTTAGTGAAACTGCATTCAATATTCCTACATTGTCATTCAATTTATGAAAAAAAACTATGATTTTAAGGTTGCTTTATGGTTACCTCGTCATTTCATTCAAGTAAGGTTAGCAGACCGAGTTGATTAAAACGACACATGGGATGCCCTTGCCTGAATATCACTGACCTCTCTCTGTCCTCAAATGTGTCAAGTTCGTCTGTCTAATCAGTTTTAATTGCCATTTGAGGTGTGCAATAGACTTGCCTCCACGTGATGCACCCTGGGCAACGTATTCTCATACGGCAAAAAAGTCTATTGACTGGCAGTTGACTTCTCACTTCAAACTACCATCACCCCACTGTATGTCATTTTCGACCACTTCCGCAGTACTCATTTTACCTTTTTCTCTACCTTTGTGTCTGTCTCTTTTACATCTCTGAAACACTGTTCAGTTCCCCTCAACCAATTCGAATTTTTTTCACTTTGATGTTCCATCCTCTCTATGAGGCCCGTAGTCAACTGAAGGGCTAATGATACCCATCAAAACGCCTGATATTTGATATAAATAAAATAAGTAAATAAATTTTTATTATGAAGGCATAGTATTAATGGATGGGATTTCTCTCTTCAGTGCGTTGCCACCTTAGGAACGACAAGTACCTGCAGCTTCGATAAATTGGAGGAACTCGGACCTGTGTGTGAAAAATTCGACGTTTGGCTCCACGTGGATGCTGCCTATGCAGGTTCGGCCTTCATCTGTCCGGAGTATCGTCACTACTTGAAGGGTGTTGAAGTATCTACGATTGTTCTTTATAGGATAAAGCATTTTGACTATGTTTTTTATTGCTGAATGCCTTTTTCTCCTGCTTCTCAGTATACGTCTTCATTTTGCTTCAATCCACACAAATGGCTTCTCACTAATTTCGACTGCGCAGTGATCTGGTAAATATCCTTTTTTTCATTTAAATAAAATAATTTTCCCAATTACGCCATAGATTTATTAGAAATTTTGGATTGGTTTCAAGAGTTTAATAGAACTAAACCTAAAAAATTTAGTCGGTAGGTAAGAAGTTAGCCATTTTTTTGAAAATTTTAACATTTTTGAAAACAAGGGAAAGGAGCAATTCTAGGTTGCAGTTTAGATACCCTATCTCTATATTTGGATCAGTAATCTCTTCCAGTAAATAATTGTAAGACTTGTTGCTGAAGCTATTCAGCTTAATTTCACTCAACAATGAATGTCAAGCCGATAATGTGATCGAGCAAAATGTTATGAAGATCAACTAGTCAAACTTGCGCAGATTTTAGGCCGAAAAGTGCTATTCATTATGGCTAGTAAAAAGTTATCAGGCTAAGAAAATTAAAATAGCTTCAAGGCTGTTAAAACACTGCTTGGCGTGTGCTGAGAAGAACATGAACACGTTTATCAATGGTAAATGCAGTGCTGATCGAAATGCTGTTGAAATCCAGTCGACCTGCAATAGTAACAACTAAATTTGCACTCAATAAGACTTAGATAAGAGCAAGTTAACTGAATGTTAAATACGCATTTATGTGGAAAAGGGGTGAATCTTACAAAGAAAGATACTTTCCTTGTTGACGAACGTCAAATGGAAGTCGGACGTGGTGGACCCTGTATCATGGGATTTTGGCAGCGGAAGATGAAGCAATCTGAACAAACGTTAAGGCGACACATCAAATTGCAACTTCCTTTTTCAATCCAGATGAAAACTACAAGAATTTGCTCAATACAATGACTGCGATGCCAAACAAATTTTACAGAATTACTAATTTTAACAAGTTATTCGGGAGATCCTATGGTTCAACTTGACAAAATTGATTCAATTCTGCGATTAAAATTACAAATGTAAATTTGATACAATTTTTTGTGATTAAATAAGAAGTGGCTATTAGGATAACACTCAGAAGGGTTTTCAGGAGGTACACGCCGAATTTAGTCAAGTTTCTGATGGCTATGATAGGTGACTGATTACTTATTAAATTGAGTTCATTTCACGAAACAGCAAATCAGGTGGGACTTCCACCGTGTATTTACTATTTAAAAATTAAGACAGGTCATAATCATTATCCAAGGGTGCCTCATCTACATCTTGTTGGCTTCTCAAATTAGGTTCAAAAACTGGTCCAGTGTAACATCCACCTTTGCAATGGAGGCTCAATACCTGAATTACTCCAGCCAAGGCATAATGCCCGACTATCATGTAAGTAACCATTTTCGTAACCTTCGAAAGATCGGTTATCTTATAGAGCTGTGAAAAAAAACCTTATAGCGTCAATAGTGCTGTATATCTTTTAGAAGTTAGATATTTACTACAGATAAGGGTTTGAATTCGAATTTTGGGACCTAGCTCAACTAACACTTTAACGCCCTTAGGACCGTATGATCCTCTTTCAAAATTAGTTCAATTGCTAATAGACCCTTAACAGAAGGCGCTGTTGGTATTTGAAGCATGTTCAATGCGTCTATAACCATTGTCTGACACCAATAATGCTCATCACGTCGATGGCGTCAGTTTGCTGTGAGACACCCTTGAGTGCGTCTGGGTGCATTTTCAAACATTATTCGGGAGTTAAATTGTTAATGATCATTTCTATCTTCGTAGAAATGACATTCCTCACATTAAATGAGTATCTACTTTTCCATTTTAGAATTGGCAACTTTCTTTTGGAAGAAAATTTCGCTCCTTAAAACTGTGGTTCGTTATAAGGAAATTTGGTATCACCGGTCTTCAAAAGTATATTCGTCAGGTAATAATTGGGTTTCATAACTTTGCATTTATTATGCAAGAGAGAAAGTGTAAATTAAGGCTTCCAACGCTGTTTTTCTGCAACCATTTTGTGATAACTTCCGAAAGTAGAATCTAATCTGCAGTTAAAATTTTCTTTTTTATTGAAGCTAACTTATCACCGAGAATGGGTAAGATCGAATTTCGAAGCATCTCTATAGGAAATGGTTATAGAGATAGCAGGAGTAATGAAAGTAATTTTTGCATTTCTGGTACACTATAGTTAAACCCCAGTGTGTATGAAAGGTGTAAAGGGGGACTAAAATTCAAGAAGTACAAGTGCCGAAAGATGGCGACCATTTTATTTCATCATCACAAACCCCACCCTCCTTCCTCCTATTCTCTTGAGCAATCCTATGAGGATGACTATTTCGAGTGACCAGACCAGCGTCTCACTGAGTTATACGTTTGGCTTCCATGTTCATCCGTTCAACGCTCAATTGTATTTGTCACGAATGGCAGGCGGTTTTATAGTTATCATTAGCCCTTTAGTTGACTTCGGGCTTCACAGAGGCGAGGAGGAACATCAAAGTGAGAAGAATTCGGGAGGGTGAATAAAAGAGTGATCACAAATGTAAAAGAAACAGACAGACACAAAGGCTCAGAAAGGGTAAGATGAGTACTGTGGTAGGGGTCGAATATGACATACAGTGGGGGTGAGGGTAGTTTGAAGTGAGAAGTCAACTGCCAGT